CAGCAGGGTCGGTGGCCGGCAGCGCGAAGAGGCCGCCAGACTTGTCCCCGTCGAAGAAGTCACCGGCAAGCTCGGCGCCACGGCGAGCGCCGGCAGCCGTGGCCGCCGACGCTGTCTCGCCGGTGGCGGCATCGCTGTCGCGCCCGGCTGGCGCCCCTGGGCAGTGGGCGCCCGGCGCGGGCTGCACAGCGTGCGCGTGTGCCGCGGACCGGCTGGGTCGGCGGTTGCAGGTGGCAAGCAGGTCACCGGCGGGGTGACGCATGCTGGGCTCTGTTGCTGACGTGTCTGTGCACCTGGATTGGTGCTGGCGTGCACTTTGTGCGGCGAGAGCAAGGGTACGTCGGGGGGACGGCCTGTCCTGGACAACTGAACAAAACTCCTGGCAAAAGTTGACTTGTGCAAAGCCCAAGCAAGGTGCGCAGGGCAAAGAGCGCGTGGGGAGAGCAGCCAGTGAGCCGGCAGCACTGTGAGATCATCAGACTGGATTGCAGAAACAAAGGACCCAGGGCTAGGTCGGGCGGACAGCGCGTGCGAGTGAAACCATGGTAGTGTACAAGGCGCCGGCCGTACTGCCGTCCAGGCGGCCAGCTGGGCGTGCGTGAGCCCTTGGGGTGCCACCGCGTGGGAACTCCCCACAAACCACGCGGCTTAACTCAGGCACAATTCATTTATTCTACTGTACAACTGGGAAACCGGCCCAGTGGTGGAGGCAGTGCCTGAGTGCAACCCCCTATCCACGCACTCGCTCAACACGCGCTGCCCAGGGCGCCGCGCATGCTGCTGACGCGCGCCCTCAGGGCCTTACAACAACCCTTCCAAAGCCGCGGCCTCAGCCGCCTCTCTCTCTGCGCACGCGGCCTCTGCTGCCGCGTCCTCAGGGCCGCACAAGGCCCCCAAACCCAACCATCCTAGCCGGCGCTGTGGTTGGCGCCTGGGTTGCTGGCAAGGTTGATGCCAAGGGCGTGGGCGAAGGCGCCGGGGTTGAAGAAGCTCGCGTCTGCGTCGGGGCCGGTGCCGCCGCCGTTGGTGGGGCCGCCAGCGGCACGGCCGCTGGGTCCGCCGGCAGCGCCGCCGCCGGGGCCGCCGGCGGCGCCGCTGGCATGACCGGCGCCGCTACCACGGAGGTTGGCGCCAGGGGTGCCGCCGGGGCTGCTGCCGTGACCGCCGCCAACGCCATGATGCGCCCCACTGCGGCCGCGTTCGCTGTGAGGCCGGCCGCCGTTGCCGCGCCCGCCGTGCCCGTGGTTGCCGCCGCCGCGTCCCTCACGCCGGCGGCCGCCGCCGGCGCGTCCTCTGTGCACGTCGATGCGGCCGCCTGCGACCGCCAGGCCCTGGTGATCTTGCGTGAGCACCTGGACGATGGTCTGCAGCAGGTTGTGCTGCATCTGCGTTGTGTTCTGCACCACCGTGCCAAGCAGTGCTGCGCAGTCCCTGCCGCGCCCCGCCCCGCCGCGGGCGGCGGGGCACTGGGCGGCGCGGTGGCCCGGCTGGTTGCACTGGAAGCAGCGTCGCGGCATTGGGCAATCCGCCTGCCTGTGGCCCAGGCGCTTGCAGTTGAAGCATTGTACTGCCTGAACTGCGTACTCCTCGCCGCCATCAAACTCCTCCTCCTCCTTGTCAGCGCCGCCGCCTCCGCCGCCGTCAGCTTGGACGGGGACCATGGCACCAGCTTGCACAGCGGCGCCCGCGGCAGCGTTCGCCGCGAGCGCCGAATCCAACTCCATGGCTTCAGACATAGTGCATCTGCGGGGTTGAGCAACAACTGTGGGAGCGTCGCAGGCGCCGCAGGCGCGGCACTGCTGACCACTAAACAAGAGCTGACGCAGGCTCGTGCGTGTGCACCCCGAGGAGGGCAGGGATTGGAGATGGCCAGCTTGTTAGGGCAGATGTCAGCGAGCGAAAAAGTAGAACGGGCACGGCATGGCTGCTGCATACATGCTGGCGTACACGCGGGCAGCTGGCAAGGCCGAGGGCTGACAAGGCATGAGCATCCCCCCCCTGCCAGCGGCCGCGAGCACGCAGCGTCCCGCACACGAGCGCACGCCGCCCGGCTGCGAGCGAGAGACATCAGACGGCAGGCAGGGTTGCGTCCCCCCCTGCTGCATGCGGGCCTGTGCGGTGGGTGTTGACTGAGAGCGCGAGTGGGATCACCACCCCGCGCGGTGGCTTGGCGCTGGCCGGCTGCAGCTTGTGCCCAGTTGCCAGCAGCCGCGGCAGGCTGTTGATTGCCCAGTCACTGTCCTCCCATGTAACCTGGAAGTAGTTTGGGCGGAAGGTGGGGCCGCGGAAGTGCAGACGCCCCCAGAAGGGGCGCTGCCGCTTCTTCTTGGAGCCGGGCACATGGAACACCTTCGTCACCAGGCGCCCATGCAGGGCGCGTGCCTCCAGGTCAGCGGCAGCCTGCTTATGTGAGGGGGCAACAGGCTTGGCAGCGCGGCGCGCGCGCTCGTTTGCCGCGCCAGCGGCGTCCTCCAGATCAGCACCCGTGAGGCCCTGGGCCACACAAGAGGGGCACAGCCACCGCCCGGCTGGTATTGCTTTCAGCCCAATGCAGTGCATGTGCAGGCCCTCATTGCAGCCATCACACATCAGCATGGTCGCCTCGTCATCAGGCCGCCCGCACACCCGGCATGCAACGTCATCCTCCACCTGAGCTTGAGAGTAATCCACCCTCGTGTCGATGTTGGGCAGGTGGCAGGGCGCACACTGCGAAAGGTGCAGCTTGGCAGTGCGGCCGTCGCTGCCCTCAAGCACCAGCACCCCTGACTTCCCCACCTCTTTGACCCTCAGAATGTGCGGACGCGCAGGCATCTGCAGGGTTGACGACACGCGCTGCTTCACATACACAAAGTCCCCTGGTTCAAAGCGGTGCAGCCGGGGCTGATAGTCACCGCTCCTCACCTGCGCGTACCGCAGCGTGTCGCGGTGCTGCGCAATCCTCAAGTTCTCACCAGCCATTATCGAGTAGCGCTTGGCCAGGGCAGCGCGCTCCAGCAGCTGGCCTGCGAGCGCGTCCCGCGCCTGGTCCGTCGTACAGTCAAAGTCCAGAGGCTCCTGCAGGCGCTCGCGCACTGCGGGCGGTACCGTGGGGGCGCGAGCGTACAGCACCTGGTAGGGGGACAGGCGCGTGGCCTGCTGCGGGGTGCAGTTGTATCCCAATGCAATCCAGGGCAGCTCGGCGGCCCAGTCTATGGCTGAGCCCCGCTCCTCAGTCATGCGCCGCAGCGCGCGCTTCACCGTCTGGACAGCGCGCTCGGTCAGGCCGTTGGCTTGGGGGTGCGAGGGGGAGGTGAGCCTGTGATCCACAAGGCTCTGCAGCAGCAGCTCCTCAAACTCCCCACTCCACTCTGACCCCCGGTCCGTCAGCACCTCGGCCGGCGCGCCGTACCTTCCAAGCACGTATTGCAGCAGTGCGCGCGCCGTGGACCTACTCGTCTTGTCGGGCAGCGGCACCAGCTCGATCATCTTGCTAAGGCGTTCTATGATCACCAGCACCCAACGGTGCCCGTCGGGCGTTGGCGGCAGGGGCCCCAGCAGGTCAAGCCCGAAGCTGTAGAAAAGCCCCATGACCTCCAGCGCCTGCATCTGCGGGGTCTGCTGGCTGAAGCTGCTGCGCGCGCGCGCACATATGTCACAGCAGCGGAGCACGGCCCTCACATCCCGGGCCATGCCATACCACCAGAAGGAGGTCAGCAGCTGTGCGTGCGTGCGCCTATGCCCAAAGTGCCCCGTGCGGGCGTGCGCCTCCTTGATCAACCGCGCGCGATCAGCAGGCGGAGGCACAATGCGAGTGCCCCCAGTCGGCAGCCGAAAGCGCAGAGTCCCCTCTTGCCACAGGTAATACCTGAGACGTTTCCTCACCCGCGAGCGTTCGTCATGCAAGGCGCCCGGCAAGTGCTCACCGTGCTGCAGCATGTGTAAAGCCTCCTTGTCTGTCCAGATATCGCTGCCCTTGCCTGACGCGCCTGGCGCATTAGCAGCGTCCAGGGCGGCAGCAACCGCCGCGGCGGCGTGTACGACCGCAGGGCAGGGAGGCAGGGCGGCAGGCGGGCCGCCTCCATCGGCGACAGCGGCGCCGCTCATTGGCGTGAGTCGGGCTGCGCTGTAGGATGGTGAGCTGGAGCAGTCGGCAGGTTGGCATCCCTGCCTACAACCCTCACCGCGCGCTAAGGCGGGCGCTGCGGCGGCTGCGCAGCTGCTAAGGCCGCGCAGGGCACCCCCTTCCGAAGGGGCAGCCAGTTGCTGCTGCTGAACCTGATGGGAGCACCCTCTACCCTGACCAGGGGCAGAGGGCACGGCCTGGCTGGACTCATCGCCAGGCTGCGGCTGCAGCGCCGGGGTCAGTGGCGCCACAGCCTCTATCCCACCCGTGCGTGCTGAGCCACAGGCCGCGCAGTCCAAGCACTGACCTGGGACCCGTGAGGGACTGGTGGGTGCGCTCGCATGGCGCCCCCCCAGCCCCGTGCTGGGCGTTTGCAAAGGAAGCTGCTGCTGCGCGGCAGAGCGGGTGGCTTGCCCCGCTCCCCACGCCAGGCTCACCGCCAAGATAGAGGAGAGGCAGTTGGCGTCGATGCACCGTCCGAGTGCCTCCCTCCGCTGCTGCTCCGTGACTCCCGGTGCCGCCGTGGAGCCCGTTGCGTAGCCCAGAGCGCGTTCGCGCTCATCTGCGTTGGGCTCGCACCACTGCTGGGAGATGGTGTCAAAGACGGCGCCCTTGCTACCAGGGCGAAAGGCGTACGACTGAGCACGCGCCACAAGCGTGGGCCAGGCAGACAGAGGCTCCCCAGGCACGTTGCACTGATACCAAGGGGCCCGCTCCTTGCTCACCGCCGGCGCTACCACCCTCCCAGGATCCAGAATGTCTTCTACCTTCAGGCCCTCAGGCCTCCTCACCTTGTCACACACTGCCTGCAGCACCTCGGACGGCAGGATGTTGGTCCAGAAGTTGCGCAGCCGGTGGGCACGGCTGCCAAACCGCGCGGCGTCCAGCAGGGCCGAGGGGCCCAGCATGCTGCAGACCTGCGCATACTGCTTCTTGAAGAGTCGGCCATTGTTCAGCTGGAAAGAGGTGTTCTCCACCACAAAGGCCGGTGGGCAGGTGGGCATGAGCAGCTGCAGAGCGCGCAGGATCCGCACAAGCTGGAAGAACGAGCGCGAACGCATGCCCTGTAGCCCAGCCCCACCGCCCGCAGGCGAGAGGTCCTGGCACTCCCACCCAGCCACTACCAGCCATTGCCCAGGCGAGCGGCGCACTGCAGCAGCCAGGGCTTCAGGGGTGGTGGCGTAGACGTCCTGAGGCAGGGTCGTA